ATCATGCTCATTTTTTTAGAGGGTCGCGCCTTGTATCCTTTTCATCGACGAAATCGATGCTATCACTCCAAAACGTGAAAGTGCTCAACGAGAGATGGAGAGACGAATCGTTGCCCAATTTCTAACATGCATGGATGGTAAATTTCTGCACACTGTTTTTCTTTCCCATCTGACGCGGATTTAGACATGTCTTGGGAGAAGAATGATAACAAACCAGTGATTGTGATGGGTGCCACCAATAGACCGGACTCACTTGATGCTGCTCTACGAAGAGCCGGTCGGTTTGACCACGAAATCAGTATGGGTGTTCCTGATGATGAGGCCCGGGAAAGGTAGGAAAATTGATCATCTATTAGGGCCATTCTTACCTTCATTCAGGATTTTACGCGTCTTGTCCGTCAAACTGCGCATAGAGGGCGATTTCAACTTTGCCGCACTCGCCAAAGCTACTCCAGGTTATGTGGGAGCAGATTTGTCGGCGCTTACTGCTGCTGCCGGTATCATAGCGGTCAAGCGAATATTCAAACAGCTGTCGGAAGGTACATTACAGCTCCCCACGGAACCGGATTCGTCTATGCAAGTTGATGAGCCCCATGTTGCTGCAGAGGCGTCGTCATCTTCATTGCAGCCCGCTCCGATAATAAAGGCTATAGCGTCCTCCCTTTCATTTCCCACTTCATCCCCTCATTCCATTGCCCATTTCCTCAACGCTCACCCCGACCCTCTTACGCCCGTACAGCTAGCTCCTCTCTGCATCACCTCGGCCGATTTCACCGTCGCCCTGACCCAGGTTCAGCCCTCTTCCAAGCGAGAAGGGTTTGCTACCGTGCCCGATGTCTCGTGGTCGGACATTGGTGCCTTGCATCGTACCCGAGATGAGCTACACATGGCCATCGTTCAGCCTATCAAACGACCGGAGCTGTTCAGTGCTGTTGGCATAGAGGCAGCATGTGGGGTATTACTCTGGGGACCACCAGGATGTGGGAAGACATTGCTGGCTAAAGCTGTTGCGAATGAATCTCGAGCCAACTTTATCAGTGTCAAAGGTCCTGAACTCTTGAATAAGGTAGCTTCAAGCTTTTCTTCCAATACTCTAACCTCATGCTGTCCTACAGTATGTTGGTGAAAGCGAGAGAGCAGTACGCCAAGTCTTTTCGCGAGCCCGGGCATCATCTCCTTGTGTTATCTTCTTTGATGAGCTTGATGCACTCGTCCCTCGGCGTGATGACAGTCTTGTAAGTCACATTCTCTTGTCGTGTTGAACGCCATTATCTGATCATTTCGCCAGTCTGAATCATCAGCTCGGGTCGTGAACACCCTCTTGACCGAGCTTGATGGACTGGATGCCCGTAAAAGCGTGTATGTCATTGCCGCTACCAACCGCCCTGATATGATAGACCCTGCCATGGTTCGGCCGGGGCGTCTTGACAAGCTGCTCTATGTGGACCTCCCTAATGGTGATGAACGTGCTGAGATCATTCGCACTATGACGCGGAAGGTACCTCTTGCTGGTGATGGAAGCGAGTCACTAGACGCCATCCGAAGTCAAGTGGAGGACTTTGTTCGCGAGCGCTGCGATGGGTTCAGTGGTGCCGATCTGGCCGCTTTGGTTCGTGAAGCAGGTGTCATCGCCTTGCGCCGTACGCTTGGTGTGCTGGATCAGATGGATGATGACACGAGAGGGCCCGAAGAGAGGCCAAAGGTCACGGTCCATATCTCTGACTTCAGTGCCGCCTTGGACAAGGTCGGGCCAAGTGTTAGCCCTCAGCAAAAGAAGAGGTACGAAGCGTTGAAATCCAAACTAGCAGGTTCGCCCGTAAAGATGGTGAAAGACGAGGTAAAAGGTGTAGAGGGAGAGGCGCAAGCGTAAATGACATTCATCCGAGTATGGATTCGAATGATATTACACTTTTGATGGTAAAACTAATCACACCTGGGTTTTTCGTAAAGCGAAGAGAAGAGCTAACAAGTGTAAGTTATATACAGAGTGAACAGTAAAGGTGAGACGATAGTGGTAAGCGCTAACCTGTCACGACGGACAGGAGGTCAGGTACTAGAAAAATAACAGATAGTGCGACAAGTAAATAAAATATGCCAGTGGGTGACTCTGCGACATTTTGATGTGTTACTGCCTTCAACTCCAGGTCGGCGGGTGTATACGGGTGTTCAACACTTCCACGCGTTACTGTCAGGTCGACGGGTGGATGCGAGTGTTTAATACTTCCATGCGTTACTGTCGGGTCGGCGGATGGATGCGAGGGCTCAACATTCCAATGCGTCACTTCCTCTCTCACCAACTCTTTGGTATCCCTGGGAGGATGGGAGTTTTCAACATCTGGATATGTTAACTCCAGATCAGGGGGGAGAAGCTCATGGTCAGCACTCCGATGTATTACTTCCTTCCTCACCCACTCCTTTTTGGTTTCGGTAGAGAGGAACGATTTTTCAGCAATCCGGTGCATCAATTTCTTACTCACTAGCTCCTTGACGATTCGCCATCCTTCCTCACCAGGAGAAGCCATCTTTTTGTCCCGGCGGAAGTTGTCCCCAAGCAGATCGACGTCAACACCGTATTCTTTTCTCAGCTGCGTCTTCAGTTGATCCTCCGAAATACTAGCTGGCGCCAAGGTTCGCAAGATTTCATACATACCGAGGACAGCAGCAGGATCACCGTTTATCATCGCTGCGAAACTTCAGCTGCGGAAATCGAACAATTGAAAGATATAAAATACCTTGCCGCCGCATCGCGGTGAACGTGACTTTATCTTCAGGAGCGGCAACCATGAGAACAGATACCACCTCAGCAAACAATATTACTCTCACCTGTAATATCCGGGATGTCAATGCCTATGTCGTCAAACGGACGTGGACGCATGTACTGAGGAATCGTAAGCTATTGTCTTTCCGTCGGAAACGCGTAATTTTCGACTTACAACGTAATCACATGGAGTCGGCTTGGTGATAAAAGAAATTTGGTGCAGCAAGTCTGGGGATCGTTTGAAAGACGGGTCTGGGGGCGGAATGCCACTTTCAATTTCTGTGTTCTCCGTCTCCGAGTCCGAGATAGCCTCATTGGGCTTCTCCTCGTCAAAAGTGACTTTTCCACAGACGGCTTTGTGAGGTCTAGGGAATCCGTGTTTCCAATCTTTTCTCTGGCATTCACTACCATAGGATGAATAAGTTATCACTGCGACTGGGCAACAAATACACCCAAACGGACACTGAACAGTATCTCACCACTCGATCCACGGCTTTGCATTTGCTACAGATTCGAAAACGTTCTCCTCCGGCAGACACATCTCCTTCTTTGCGGCTGCAATGGAAGCATATATTTTGGTGGTTTTCGGCCTCTTTTCGACGAGAATAATCCTGCATGTCTTTCGAAAACTGAGGAAGCCTGCCTTCGTCCTTGTAGAATTTCTTGGCTTGGCGTAAGACGTCCTTGCTGGGTCTGCTGTTGTCGCGGTACAGCGACTTTCCTACTTGAATCTCCTCTCTGTTACCATACTGGTGCTACTATTCAGTCCTCGTTGATGCCCAAGTAGAAAAGCTCACAAATGCGTTTAGGATGCTCCATACGGTCATGGTGATGAAATAGCTTCTTTTCAGCCGATATCCGTCGAATATCTGTGTAAGTACGATATCGTTGGTCTTGACCAGCTCCTCGAATGCTGGATTCTCCAAGAGCAGCGGAGTACTAAGTGTTTCTTTGACTTGATCGTCGGGAAGGAGCATTTTCAGAAGATAGATGAAGTCTCTGTCGTTTGTTCCAGAAAGCGTGGCGACGGTCATTTCAGGGCACCATAATCGCCAACCTTCCATGCCATTTGGAACACAGGCAGTTACATATAGCCCTTCCAGGACCAATTCCTCCCGTCGCTGCTGCGACAACGACCTCCATCTTTCCTCCAAGTTGTCGTTACTCAATCCTGCCACGGCAGCTTGAGCTAAGTCTCGCTGAAGAAGGCACATTTCCTTGGTGCGGATGTCCTTCTCCAACTGCGAAGATAGTAGGGATTCAGTGTCTCTGAGAAAACGAATACTCTGGGGAGACATGACACTGATCATCGCTGGAGGGTTTTGTCCTGGAGGATATCTATCCAAAAGCTCATCTTCCCAGCTTTTGTTCCACGCCTGACGATATCTGTGTTTGTCGGGGCGAGGTCGGGACATGGACTAGTATAGCGGTGGTTACAATAGGTCGTCGATGGTAAGTGCTTTAGGTGCGGGAACAACGTTCAATAACAATTCAGTAACGTTACATACACGTGAAAACCTGATGGTCAACATCACGAGGAATACGTGCAAAAGACTAGGCAGGAAGTGCATCGAAGCAGGCAATAACGTTTTAGCTTTGACATATTGCGGTGGAACGACCAAGAAAAACGCTTTCCAGTACCAAACTGAAATTGACATGATAAATGACCTATAACGTAATTACCTGTAACATTATGCATAGTAGTCACCATATGTATACATACGCCCTAAAGCGCGTGAATACTATAAACGGGATTTCATCATCATCATCATCATTATCATCATTGCCTGTAACATAATCCATTTTCGTATGGTGCAAGGCGCTTAGTCAGCGCTTCTCTTGTGCAGTGGCCAATTTGGTCAGAAAATTTTGGACATCCAAAATGACCTAAAAAGACGATTTCCGAGGTCGAAAAAAATTGGGAAAAGTGTGACAGATCGTGATATATATCACGTTCTCTGCCAACTCTGTCACGCTTGGCCAAAAATTTCTAACGAAAATTTTATTTCTCCCGCAGTTTTTACCCTATGAGAATTTCGTCTTGACAAAATGACCCTCTCATCAAAAGGACCATTTTGGCAAGAGGAATAAGAAATTGGGTCAAAACTTACCTTCCTATTTTGGATTGCACAATTTTGCACATGAGATGCGGTGACTAAGTGCCTTGCACCATAGTCCGCACAAAGTTAAAACTTAAAACTTAAAAGTCGAGACCAATTGTTAATGGATAAAATTCCAAAAGTGACAAGAGTGGGACTTGAACCCACGCCACGATACCGTGATGAGAAACCCCGAATTCAGGGAAGTCGGTCTAGGATTGCATAATCCCGCTGACTTGAGTCACACGCCTTAACCGCTCGGCCATCTTGCCATACGTGCTGTTACCTACCAATACAAATAGATACCTCTGCTATTAGACGAGAAGCCGGTTCTTTAGTCACTGGGTAAGGGATGTTTTAGATTACTAATTTATCTCCTCTCTGACCGTGATCAAGGTATGGAAATTTTGCCAGGGGAACTCTGCAACAGCGGTGGTGGAAATTCTGCAATGATGATGCCCTAAACTGAGTTGTTCTATTACCCCTCTCCTGGTATATCGCGTGCCTTGCAACTGGATACTTTTCGTTCTTCCAACATCGTGAGAGCCGCCGATTGATTTATCTTAATCCGTCTTGCCACGTATTTCCGAGGTGTGTAATTTTGCCTTTGTACTTACCACGTCTGGCCGAATCATCGATTCCATCCGTTTCCATCGCTTTCGACGACCAACATCGGCATGCTAAACTTCATACCGACGGGCATCTGCTCGTGGAAAGGCTATAGCTTCAACGATATTCCTTATGCTTGAGCGCTACTTGGGGTCTGACCTCGATTATCGGGACGCGGGTCGCGCCTATTCAGCCGATGTCTACTATCTCTACTCCGGGTTTCTCGTAAAACTCTTTATTCGCTGACGTCTTTTGTTTCAAGGCTAAATGGCCATTGGTTGAATGCGTCATTACAAAATTTGATAAATCGGTTTCACGAGTAACAAAAAATAGGAACCACCGGGTACGGTCGGTGGTGACTCGGGTCATAAGTTGGGCGTATATAAATGTGAACCCTGGGTTGACTTTCTAGTCTTGTCGTTGTTCTAGCCACCTGGCAGCCACTAGCAGCTATCTCCCACATCCCCCCGTTCTGCGAAGCTGAGTCGTCGTCATGCCTGGTTCGTTGTGCATTACTCTTCTGCGATAGCGTGTATTGACGGACTTCACAGAAAAGAAAGAATACGTCGAGTCGCCTTTTAAGACCTTCGTTACGTCGCCGAGACGCATGCTCTATGCTATCGCGTTTTTCCTAGTCTTTGCCTTGAGTTCGTAGCATATCCCCTCCCATTCAGTATTCATTGATGCTCAACGCCTTTTATCTCACTAGCCACATCGCAACTCGGTCTCGTCTCGCAGCAGCTTCACAATGGTGGCAACGACTACGCCAACTACCCCGGCATGGAATACAAGCATGACCTAGGATTGCTGCTCTTCAGCTGTGTATTCACCTACCTATACCTGATTGGACATCTATATGCCCTTGGTCTTGGATGTGCGTTTATCTGGCATATTTTCTAACGCAGTTTTGACGTTCATGATAGTAATCACCTTCTTTACGTTTGTCGGCGCTGTATTCTGGGGAACTGGTGCAGGTGTAATGTTCCAAGTTAGCCCCTTCCGATCATACAACTGTGGCAACCCCGCGGACTCGTTCTCGCCAAACTGGGCGCGGTTCGCCGATCAGTGTTCAAGGATCGTGGCTATCCAGGGTATCGCATGGGCGAACTGTGAGTAACATCAATTGACATCGGATCGAGCGCTTATGTTGGACTTCTAGGGGGCCTGTTCGTCTTCCTATTCTTCGGGATGCTCATCCACAAGCTCGAAATCAAACCTAGACCCAACGTGACTTTCTACGGGCCTTAGATATTCGAAAGAACCCAACGTAAATTTCTGATACATTTGTTCAGCGATGTTTAACGATCCATGTCTTATTATGACCTCTATATTACTTCAATCTTGTTCCTAGTAGAAAAAAAAGGTTAACTGCGCACCCTTTCCACGTTTGGGGAAATGAGAAATGAGAACACGAATAGTAGGTTGCATGCATACCGAAGGTGCCGGTTACTGCAACTGAGGTCCCTGAAGACCGAGGTTACACTCGGTAGAACATATTGCAGCACATATCTGTAGCAGATATAGATCCGAGATGGTTGATTGTAGTACCGGTACTTTATACGCTGCGATCAAGCTTACGCGACACCTTTGTTTCACGTCGGGAGATGTCGGGACGCCGCTGCAGTGCCAAAAAAGGCCGATGACGCTTTCTTCCGGCACGTTGCAGGCTCCCGAGGAACGACATCAAGCACCAAATCAAAACGCCGTCTGTCCCCTTCTTCAACAACTAGATCGTTAACATGGCCAGTGCAAAAGTTGCGACACTGCTGATCCGAGTAAGTGATGGTCGTTCCCTTGTTGAATATTAAACTTATTTCTTGCGCGGAGAGACTATCGCGAAGCCAATAAGTTCCACCCTCAAGGAGCAAGCTAAACGGTCCTCTTGATGATCATCTTGCCTTATTCAATATGCTTACTTTTTACTCACAGGCATGACCGGTTTCGAACATTTTGTGTCTCATTAGCCCAGCGAATGTACCGTGCCGAAGTGAAGTTGAGAACAGGACTGCTGGGGGAGCCCGCGAAACATATACGCCCACTTTCCGAACAAAAGTGTGTTCTGCTTTTTGCTTCCGAACTCTTGCATGTCTGATCCCATGTACAGAGCAATAGATAATGGGGCCAATGCGTTAGCAGAAGGATTCCTATTCAGTGTAGCAGCCCTCTTAATCATAGGAGAAACATGGCGATCATCTCGAAGTCAATCTAAACGTCGAGACGACGTGAACGACAAGTTAGATGAGCTGGGGACACAGGTGACGGAGCTGAAAACACGGATGAATGTGCTCACAGATCGGCTGGAGCAGAGGGACCTGGAGCAGCAACTTAGGTGCGTTCTATCATTCCTGTGTTCATTTACGTGGCTTACCACCAATACAGGAATGACGAGCTCACGCGAATATTGGAGCGTGTAGTCGAGATTGGGCTTCGAGGTGGATGGGCAGAATTTGAGGAAACGCCTCTTCAGTTTCCTCGCATATCTCTCGCGCCGACCGCCTCTTCAGTCTCTCATTCCCCTCTCCCTCCCGACGATACCCGAATAGACGTAGATACCCCAGACAAAGACTCGAAATCCTCAAACGATAAGCCCCCTTCTCCATAATATCCACTTATTTTATCGAAATATAATCATCTTACGCTTCACGAGCTCAGAGGCTCATGTATCACGCCGACGCATATTTGAGAAGTTCAATGGCAAATTTTACTCAACAATTAAGGGCCCAGACTGAATATTGTGTCTACACTAGGTTGCTTTCCAAGCAGATTACAACTGGTTTTAACACATACTGTGGATAGAGTATTGTGAGGGAAGTCTATCTAGCTTTGCCGCGCGTCCGAGTATTTCGATACTCGTCAAGTTACAATACAAGTAGATGCTAGGCTAAACTCAGAAGAACATAAGACACGCGAAAGGCGAGGTGCGCCCGCCGCATTTAGCCTTCGTTCACTTTGTACTACTTGAGCACCTTAAATTATCGTTGTCATACACTTAATCAAGCACTCGATATGCTTCTCGTTCGCCCGAATATTTTTGACACTGTCTCTGGTAGCATGGTATATTAAAATCTAGGGATGCAGAAGAGAAAAAAATGAATTGGAATAACAATACAACGGTAGAGTAACTCTACAAGTAGGGTAGCCAATATGGTATCAAGTACAATGTCCCATGAAATTAGACAACGATGCAGTAGAATCTGAAAGCAGAGAGAAAACATCACATTATACAGCATCCTTCTTGGAAAGGACATATGTTATCCAGCCAAGACCGCGAACACTCGCCTGTCACATCGCGCGTCGATATCGGACCTCCCGTCCTCCGAATCTCGATGGCATACTCCTGATCTTCCTCACCCTCTTGTGGTGTGTCGTACCACCACCGGAGCACCTGTCCGTCAACAGACCATCGCCCCACGCTCACCGTCACATCGACATCTACAAGGTTCTTCTCCGACAGAGTATGCAGTAAATCGTCCCCTCCATTCAACGTATGACTCGATCGTGAATCAGTCAAATTTGACGCAGACGGAACACGAGATATAGAAGAGCTGGTGTCCGCCGAACTGTCGCCAGTAAACAGTCGAGGGTGTGCGTAATGCACCAGGGGAACGAAAATCTCCGTAGCTGGTGACTCCTCGTTCACACCGCCAACCTTGAGCTTGTCCTCAGCACGCACAGTGACGACGAACTTGAAATGTGCTTTCCGCAGGTCGAACGCGATGTCCTTGGGTCGGCCAATGACTTTATGGGGCCAGGGTCGGTTGAACGCCCGATCTGCCCTGGCCCCGTCCGTCAGGAATTTATAGGGATTGTCCCGCCATCGCATCATGTAGAGTTCGTGTCGTTGTTGTGCCCTTAGCTCGTCAAAGCTCGTGCCGTCCCCCATCCCTAGTGTGGCCAAGGAAAACGTCGATGCAGCCCACGCTGCTCGAACATCGACGCCTTCGCCCGACATCTTCCGTTTCAATAAACCAGCTTGCGACTCCGTACCCTTTAAGGGGTACTCGCAGTAGTCGTCCTCTTCCTTCCCCCTCCGCACTCCCAGATCATCTGAACTCCACAAACTCAGGTCTTCCATATTCCACCCGTCGCCCCAATCATGACAGCTATCAGGGCAATATGTCCATATCGTCCAGTTGATCGCGTTGGGTCCATCAGCGCCATTGAGACTAGCATCCAGGGCCCGTTCCTGTCGACTGTAGTCGCCCTTGTGCTTGCCATGATCCGTCCAACCGTAACTCCGCTTGTTGTCCATATCGAAAGGAGTACCTATCTCACCAAGAATCGTTGGGTACGGTCCCAGGATATGTGCATCAACCTTGTACATAGAGAGTTGTTCCTGCAACGACTTCCGTATAGCGGTTTCACCGACCTTCACGGCCTGCAGTGGAGAGGAATACTTTCCCCTCAATACTCCCAGAGCATCGGCATTAAACCAATTCCAGTGCCGTGTTATAAGGGTAAGGCCGTCGTAATAATGGGGAGAGTATGCGGCACGGCCTTTGAGCACGCTCTCGTCGATGGATGGTGGTGGTGCGAATACGGGGGGCTGCGCGAACATGATTGATTCCGGATGTGACTCCCTGATACGAGAGGTGAATGACTCAAAATGGGGCTGCCAATAATCGGCAATGAACTCGACTTCAACCGGGGCGTCGTCTGCAGA